TCTGCTAATTGGAGTAGGAGTCTAGTCGCAGGTCGTCTTTATCAATTATTCGCTTCCGGCTTCACAGTTCTCGGCTCACTGTTTTGTCCCTTTAAAGAAAAATTTTTTTCCAATTACAGAAAAAAAAAGAGAAAAAGAACTTGTTTTTTGCAACGTTCATAATTCTTTAAAAAAAAAAAGAAGTTAAATACCAACTTTAATCCCTAAACTTTTAATTTTGAACATTTTAAGATTTTAAATTTTTTAATATTTTTTTAGTTCTTAAATTATGAAAAATGTATTTTTTTATTTTTTTATTAGTTTATTTATTAAATTTATCTATATATTTTTGAAATTTTTGAATTTATATTTATAGTATAAGTTAAACATATATTTTAAGGATTCAAAATATGTATATATTATAAATTTATGAATTAAAAATATACATATTTAAACAGATTTAACAAATTAATTAATTAAAAAATAAAAAATGTATATTTTTCAAAATTAATGGATGAAAAAAGTACAAAAAAGCTAAAGGATAAAATTTACTCAAAAATAAAAGTTGAGGGACTAAATTTTGGCATTTAACCAAAAAATGATGTTGGCCGCCATCCAATTAAAATTTAAAATATTAAGTGAAGTATTATTTATAAAAAATTCATTTTAGAAAATTATTTTTGCCGCCATTCTAGGGTAGAGTTGATGTTGTATGTAATTAAATTATGATATCTAATTACCAAAAAAAAATTATGATAACAAAGAAAATGAAGAGTTGATTTGGGGTAAATTATAAAATGTTACATTATATTATATAAATATTATTATAAAAAATTATACATATACTTTTATTATTTTTTGTTAGTGACAAGTTATAATGATATTTAAGATTGTATAAATTTATGATTATAACATATTATTAAATAAGTGTAATATTGTTAAATAAATGAACATAAGCAATATCATATGTAGATTTTTAAGTAAAGATATTAATTATATGATAATATATTATATTATACATTTATAATATTATAATTAAAAAATATATATTAATCTCAATTTTTAAAAAAAATTAAAGTTATAATATTAAATTATGTCATTTTATTTAATTAAAACTTAATTTAAAATTTAAAATTTTATCTAATTGAATATTAATATTTAAATTTAAATTTAAAAATTAATTAAAATTTTAAATTTTAAATTAAAATTTTAATCTTTAAATGTAAATTAAATCCTAATTTTTTAATAATCCAAACTATACACACTAACTTTTTATAACTATATTATTTTTAATTTTAAATCTTATCTCAATGTCAATTTAGCTTTTGTGTTGGGGTTACACTTGTGGCTGAATGACATATAAAGAAAGTACTGATACTGACTATCAAACTTTTCAATTATAATGCTAATAATTTTTGGCTGGCTTTCTCAATATAAAAGGTGTGCAAATAAGGATAGTTGAAAGTTAGAATTTGTTGGTGAACGAAACGTGACAACTATGATTATGATTAAGGCCAGAAAAAGCTAAGAAGTTGACAACAATGATTTTTTAATGGGTGATGCGAAATAATTTTTTTATATTATTTTTTTAATATAATTTTTATATATTATTAAATAAATTAATACATTAAATATCAAAATTTTCATAAAAATTAAAAAAATTAACCATTTAAATAACATGTTAAATTATATAAAAAATAAGATAAAAAATTATATAAAAATTATTTTTTTTTCAATTATTAGTTAAAATTCCAAATCAACCCTCCAAGATAATTTTACCGATATTTTTATATTGTCTATTTTTCTAATTCCAATTCCGGATTATATAAATGCGGATGTAATGCCTTCACCTCTTGAAATATCTCAAAAGACTTTATTATTATTATTATTATTATTTTGATAAATTACATAATAAAATACAACCTTCATTTATTTTTTTTAATGAAAATCCTCTTTTTATTCCTATGTGAATCTC